GGAGCTCAACGCATAGAGAAAGATAGAGATGAAGAAACGAACTTTCATATGTAGAGAGAACCTGAGATGATACTAGAATAAGACGTCTTCAAAACGTACCTAGGTGAACAGTGTTCTATCCACCTTGCCTAATATGGGAACTCTGCCCTGCGGCATTGTGGCGTCAGGCTCTGCCGAGATTTGCTTCCGTGACTCGTTTGTTTCTCTTTTTCATCTTTCCCTTCTTGTTCACAGCAAAGGAAATTGCTTGTAGTATAACATGTGGTGTGCAGCTAACTCTTTTAACGGACTTCGATTGCAGGATACCCACTGTCTGACATCGCACTAATAGGGAGCCAAGTTCACGGGGTTCAATTGCTTTACTAAGTGAGGTCATTTAATTCTGATCATTCCTGCTTCTCTACTTCTGGTCGAGAAAAAAGAGGGGTCGCAACGTCAAGCGGGATGAATTTTTCGCCCCACGTCAACCTCCTCCGACGCCGATACCTCCTTTCCTATATCATTCAGGAAAACAAGCGAGAGTGTCCACGGAGGACGGAAAAGGCGGAGGCAATAATCGACAGACTGTGCTGGGTCAGGGGAGCTGGAGTGCCTTATGATGATATGTGATGCGTTCACCCTTGCGCTTATCCTCTTTTCTCGTCATTGTGCAGATTCTAAGCCCCTCATTTCTCTGTCGAAAATCAGAGAACGACCCCAGATGATACACCTCATTTCATACTCAACGCCCATCGCCAACTTTCCAGCTCATTCGCACTGCATTTCTTCCGTTTTCTCATCAGGTTTCTGAACTTACCCCAACACCCAGGAACGACATATAAATATATGTCTTCGCCAAAATCAGTGTCACTCCACGGTCTTAACAGACTCAACGACGCCGAGGATATCTTAATTCTGGTTGTTGAAATACAAATTCGTTGTAAAAGATGTAGAAGTCGTCTTATCATGGAGCTAAAGTACTTGTATTCCACCTGCGGGGATTTCTCCCCGTTCAAGTCTCTGCAGCAGCAACCATCCTTCGAAACTACCCGTCCATTATCGACTCATCGGCGGTCCTCTGTAACAGCACCGGCCAAGGTAATCAACTTCCCACATCTTCTTATCAGGTTCGTCGATCGCTTTTAAGGACCTGATGCTTCTTGTATCGTGCTGCGGCGACTGACGATCTAACCGAAAGTATACCTCACGTGTGTTTCTAGCGCTCTTTAGGTACGGGGCTACCCACTGCGAAAACGTTCGCGGGAGATGTCCTTCCGTTTCTACTGCACCTTATTGCAGATTCGGAAATCGGAATGCGATTTTGCATGCGGCTTTACGACACATATGTTGTGCGACCGACGCTCCGCATCACAACCTAGTTGGTCTTCCATGCTCGTAGTGCTTCTAGATGTAAAGGTTCTTTGGCTCTCGAGCTGACTGAGACAGTGTCGGTGTTTCAACCGGATTCTTTATCCCTGCTTTTTCTGTGGTCAACTTTCATTACGCGTGCTGCGTACTATTCATCCGCCTTCTTCGTCATAACCTGTGACACGGGAGAATCGATTATTTTATTATCTTTCCGTGCAACGAGGCAGCAGCAGCTAAAACAAATTAGGAAACCAACACACTGTAAATCATGCGTGTCTGATCTTCTCCCTTGGACAAACTGTGCCTGCTGAGCCATTTGCAATCTTATTTCCACCGTTGCTGCATCACCAACCGTAACTTAGCAAGCTACTGGTAAGGTCTCCCCAACGTTCATATGCAAATGAGATGAGGTCGCGTGTTCACTTTCCTAGACCTTGAGTTAAATTTCGTGACCTACTGAATTATTCTTTCTGTAGTCTTGTTCGCACTGTTACCGTCTGAGTAATAGTTCACGGCGTCCTTACTCCGCTTTCTATGGCTTACTCGGATCTTGGACGGTGTTTGCACAGTCTCGTGCTCAACACCTATCATAATAATAATTCCCTCATTAAGTAAGTACTCGGGAACTTCCAGTGAATACAGTGGTGCTTACATGAAGGTCCCGCAACTGATAACCATACACGTAGATTCCCGACGCGTAGCCTCGCGACACAGCCATCCCGAGTCCCGGTCGAGAATGCTTGTCGTCTAATAGACAATGATCCGTTCTTGTCGCACATCTGCAAAGAAACCAGTTTTCTGTGGTGTTTCTTCCATGATACGGTTTTTTTAAAATTTATTTTCCTAATTGGCGCCTTTTCTTTGACCTTTACTACTGACGCCAGAAGACATAGGGCAGAACACGGGTACCGGTCCTGTTTCCCGACAAATCGACCTTAATTTGTCGTTTGGATATGAAGGAGTCCGACTGATGTGTAACAAATTTGTCCTGCGGGATGTTTCATGTCAAATCGGCTGAAGATCCAGAACGGACACCGGAACGGGATCGACTCTGAATAGGACGGACTTTATTTTCTTCGTTGTGGATGTGTCTGAAGTCTTGAAATCTTTGAGAAGATGTTTGCTTGATGTGTTCGATGATGCAACTATGCTCAGGTACTTCTTGGCGACGGTGAGACTGTCATTCTGCTAAATGATATTCCTACTAATCAGTGCCTATTGAACGCCAACCCGGCGCTTGTATGGATCTTGCTACTAGGCTACTAAGACACGGACATACTTACTAGTAACTTCAACAGATGGTCCGCGCCACTTTACTATTTAAATGCCACCATAAAATCCCGGTAGAAGTCTCTTCGGTTCATCGGTACACAGAGCCGACCACTTGAGCGTTTGTCAAGACACCGGAAGGCAAAAAGGATGGCGAGCTTCTTCCTCACAACTCCCCGCAATCGCATATATCAACAGCGACCGCGACTACATTCATGTGGCGCGGTTCGGCGCGCTGCGTGCATACTGCTTCACGAAAGCGTCGCAGTTCCCCGATATCGATTATCCGCAAAGTCAACGTCTGATTAAAGAAAGGGGAACCAGACATTTGTATTATACGTAGTACTGTATTGTACAGTAAGATTTCAAACAGACTATATTATGATTGACACCGTTGGATACGAAGCTCCGACCGACTGATCCCTTACTAGTTCTTTAGTACGGAATACGCCGCGCATGGCACGCAGCTGTTATCACTAGGGCTGTGTAAGGGACTAGTACTGTGCTTGGATATGATGGTGCTTACAGGTGCATTTAGATCCATATGACACAAAGAGGACAGTAACAATTTCCTAGTGGAATGTCGCAATACAACTTTTCTTCAATCATTACAAACGCCTCCAGTGAAATGCTTGAGCGCGCGGAGCAAGTCTGCAAGTAGTTTAGGTCTGCTAAGAGCGCCACCAATGCATGCGGTCGGGCCCAGGCCAAGCCGTCCCCGAGAGATAGTGTATTCGGTTCGCTCAATGAACAATGTAATGACTGTCCACAAACGAAGTTTAATCAGCATTATTTCGTGTTAGCCTGAGCGTTGAGACATATCGCCGGATCGCTGCCACGCGCAGCACGCAAGGGCGGCGTATTCTTAAGGGATACCATATCCAATGGCTATGCTGTATGAGTATCTTGAGCGCCTATTCCAAGCTTCTTTCAACTAAACTTAGCAGACGATCCTCTGAAAGGTTTGAAGGATCTGGATTGGTTCGGGCATCTGAGGGGAAATGAAACAAGCACAGCTCGAACGTAGCCGATTGAGGTGAAGTCGGTCAAGTCAGCTTCACATAGATATGGGTCGGCTAGGATTAATTAGGGCACACCTGGTGTCTTACCAGCTGCGCAGTGGACGAGGGACCGATTATGAGTAACTCTTACTCGGTGTTTCCGTTCATAGCGGATCCTGTAATACACAGTAGCTTAAGTGCGATGGTCATATTCAGAAACAGTGCCTTCGCATAGTAGGTACAGCGAACCTTTGTTCGCCCATTGAGGCTAGAACCGCAAATTGCCTGGCGGGCGGTTCGGCGGGACGTTACAATAGTAAATTGAGCGATCCGGAGGCTGGCCTTAATGTCGATCAAGGCGTGTTCAATAACCACGTCTTCTTCCGCCGAAAATCGGTTTTATTAAGCGGGAGGGAATAGACTAGAGATAAACGCAGGTGCGTGTTACTCAGCCTGAGGCTGGTGATCGAGAATAAGGCACCTCATAGCATGAGTAAGGTTTCATGCAGGGTAACATGATGTGCTTCCCGCATGTTGAGCGATTATCCTCTTCCCCAATTGGTCCAATGACTCCGGCAGTATGCGAGCGCGAAAAAAGGAAGGTCGTGATAAGCCTGGTGTCTTGCTTAGATGCTGTAGATAGTTGAGCTGCTTTTATCTCTTGAATATTTGACACCGAGAAGAGGACGCGAGAACAAGCACGCGAAAATAGACTATCGCAGCCGAGAGTCAAGTCGTAATCAAATATGCGAGACCTGCACGATAGAGTACTTTGAATCTCCAAAGAAACAGATGCAAGCAACAATGCGGAGGTCGCGAAGCGACAAGGTTGAACACAGTCGTTTGAAGGTCGGAGCTGTCGTTTTACTTCCGTGATCAGGGCTCGAGGCATTCGAACTCACCTTCATCAGTTGAGCGATCGGGACTCACCTCGCGTAAAGTCGGCCAGCCCAGTTCAGTTGAGGGGATGATACTAAGCTCCAGTCCTGAAAAATCTTGATTAAACGTCTAATTCGGAGAACTCCGAGAGATATTTCTATAAATGACATATTAAATTCGTAACCCTATGGAAAAATAAAATAAAAATGAATATAAATTATAAATGCAATTAAATAATATCAAACTAGGAGTAAATTGTCTCCAACCGTTCAGGTCGTTCCGGCGGTAAGACCCTTTGTCCGCCTGTGTCCACCCACCTGGCGCAGTTTGTTCAAAGTAACTTTTTACCGACCCTGACCGTCGTGGATTCAGTCACGTTTCTTGAAATGTTTTTGTGCGAAGTACAAGAGATTGAACATATTTCTCCTCAATGTATGTTGAGAGGAAGGATGAGTATTAATGGATATGGCGTAAGTAGCAAGATACAAGGCCAATTTCAGAAGTATGTCTCTGAGGTAAGTTCTAACTGTCCTCGCAATTGACCTTCTTGACGCAGTAGTGGCAAGGAAAGGTTGAACGTGAGTGACATGGGAACAGCAAACATTGAGCACCTCTGGTAGCCGCGAAGTAACAGGGGGAGATTCTTTTCCATTTCACTTGAACTTTCACATTCCTGGATCTGGAAACGGCAGTTTGGCTCATGTTTAGTACCTCAAACCTCACAAAATTCACAGGAGGCTAATCCAACACGTGCAGTGCGCGTTTCAAACGCGGATGCAAGAGCAACGGCCAATGGTACAGACTTGGATGCGGAGGCTACTTGCGAGGAAGAGGCTGTTGATGGGAGATGCCGAGATTCGATGGCGCTCGTAAGAAATACACCAGATACTTTGGCGTAGCTGCATTCGAGTCTTCACTTTTGGAAGTGGAGTAGCCTTGCATGTGCGAAGTTCGATGGACTCATTGCAGGTAGATCCTTTGTCAATTGAAAGCAAGCTTCGCATCCGAGTCCTAAAGCTATTATCTCTGAACTCCTTTTGTTCAATGCGTAATGAAAGTACAGAAATCAAAGAAATAGACTACATCGCACAGACACCGAGGTGGCATGTCGAAAGTCGTAAGTTTTGCATAATCGGACACTCATGACGATCTTCCAAGGCATGGAATCCAGAAAACCTTGCAAGCTTCTCCTCGCAGCACCGGGAAACTTTCTTGCTGGTCGTTCCCACTTCATTGCGAAGGCGGCTGGAAGCTATCGGGGGAAATGGTTGTCAGTAAGTTGAGGGCTTCTATTAAGACTAGGGGCGATGATCCTTACCCAGGCGGCGGAGCGCCGGCCCCACCGAAACCTGGTGGGGGAGGGAAAGGCATACCCGGAGGGAAGCCCGGTGGCCTAAACCCAGGCGGTGGTCCACCAGGCATTCCGGGCGGTCCTCCAAAGGGTACAGGCGGTCGAGCAAACGGGGGAGCACCCACTGTAGTAAGGCAAGAAGCAAAGCAGTTTTCAGCAACTTCTTTCACATAAGAAAACAAAATTCACGTACTTGGTGGCATCATGCCCATTCCACGACCAGCAGGCATTCCACGACCAGGTCCTGGGAGGATCTATTGCAGATAAACATTAACAGTGCGTCAGTGCATGAAGTCCCGTGTGAAGCACAAGGTCGGCAAGTGGCTCTGGTCCGAAACTGTACGTACCCCCGCAACCTTCTTGTCTTCGTCCACAACTGGAGGCGGTCCCTCCACGCTCAAGCTCACGACCGATTCCCCTCGCAGAATCACAAGGCCCAATGAGCGTTTAATTTCTTGCTCTGGAGCAGGACCTTCTTCTCCTGCCTTCTTCTTTGCCCTAACACGTCGGAACTCCTCGCAATCTGCCAACACAAGGTTCATGTGTCTGTCGAACGCCAGCATCTGGCCAGTTAGAGCACGGCCATCGTTGAGTGTGATTTTTAGGCGCCAGTTGATGAGCGAGAGCATCTTCCCGCCCTTAGATTTTGGTGGAGGCTGTAAAAGACAGATCTTACGGTCAAAGTGATGCTCTATCAAGAGATGTTCAAGCTACTTACCATGGCTGTGTTATGTAGACAACAACACGACAAAGAGGAGCTAAAGGAATACCGAACACCGACTGTTGTGGTAACTGCCAAAATCCTGAGAAGATACTTCTATAAATGGAGACCGGCTCTGATGACTCGATCACGTGGCTTCTACTCAAGAGTCAAGACGAAAGGATTCATCGGTGCCTTCGGCTTTGACTTGCTTCACTAGCTAGCATAGATGAGTCAGTTGTCGAATATTCAATTTAGTTCATTGCCCAGTAAGAGTCTTTCACTAATTTCCATTAGTTATTCATAGAAGAAATCGGAAGGAGACAGCGAGCACTTGCACAGACTTGCTCAAACTCGCACAGATTCTGTCCACATAAGGTATGTGCGCTCATTGTTGACGTGCAAGCCCGCCTCTCCAATGAATGAGAAGGCTTCATTAGCTATCCGCGGAAGAAATCGGAAGGAGATAATCAGCACTTGCTCAAACTTGTACAGACATTGTCCACATTAGTAGCCATTAAGGTATGTGCGATCATTCTTTTGTACCCTCGAACCACTATGCTGACATGCAAGTCTGCCTTGCCAACGAATTGAGAAGGGTCAATCACTCTGTATTAGCAATTCATGGAAGGAATCGGAATGGGCCAGGCGATTTATAATTACTAAGAGAATCTGTGGCATAGCTCACAACGAGAACACTCCTCCCCTCCCAGACAACAATGAGCACACCAATCACTCTACTACTTAGTATGCATTATGTTTCTTTGCTTAGTTATATTTTCACCTTACGAACGTCCATACGCCGGAATTTTATTTTATTTTCTAGACATAAAGACACCAGTGCTTTGTGCTCCAATGGCTGGTGCAAGTGGTGGTGCGCTAGCTGCACAAGTTTCTCTTGCAGGAGGATTTGGATTTATAGGAGCAGGTAAAAGGATTGATTCTCTCGATTATTTCGAGCGCTAGGCCAGATTAAGCTAACATTAGCACGTTGATATTTACTCACACCGTGAACCAATCTCCTCGCTTCCTCCTCCCCCCTCCCCCTCCCCGGAAGGTTACTGGGATGCGGGATGTTTCCGGAAGGAGCTTGAGTTGGCGAGCTCGATTTTGCAAGAAGAAAGGAAGCCTATGACCGAGTCTAGTGATCAAATAACGAGAACCGATACTCGGGATGGACCTTTGAAGATAGGCGTGGGTTACCTCGGATGGAAGCTCGATCAGTCCAATGAGAGTGCAGAGCTGCTCTCCATTGCCCTAGAAGCACGCGTTGCCGCGGTCTGGCTCGCCTTTGGGACTGATCTAGGAAAGTGGGTCCGGCATGTGCGAAAATTCGACGCCAGTAGGTCGAAGCCGCATACAACGATAGTGTTCGTACTCGTGAATTGCCTGCAAGATGCACAGAAGGCCGTAAAGGAATGGGACGCCGACGTACTCGTGGCACAAGGTAATTCTTTCTAGCTATACTTCTGGCGCTCTAAAATTATTCTCGCCCTAAATCTAATCAAGACAATGGAGTTTCTGAAAAATTTCTGCACTTCACATAGGTATTGAATGCGGAGGACATGGGTATGGAGCTGCGTCGCCCCTGCTTGCGCTAGTTCCCGAGATTCTCAAGTCGTTTCCGGAGAAAGAAGGGGGGAAACCTTGCCCTCCTGTTGTAGCTGCTGGCGGCCTAACGTCCGGAGCCCACATTGCAGCACTACTTGCGCTTGGTGCCTCTGGAGTCGTCCTCGGCACTCGGTTTCTTCTCACACCCGAGGCCAAATACTCGGATGCACAGAAGGCTGCTCTCCTTGCCGCGTGTGGCACCTCCACGATACGCACGACGGCATTTGATGCCTTGCGAAAGACTACGGGCTTTCCTGAAGGTATAAACGGTCGTGCACTTTACAACAAAACAGTAGAACACTTTGACAGTGGCTGGGACAAAGAAGAAGTTCGTCGCCAGTTTGATAAAGGTGTCCAAGACGGCGACCCCGAATATTTTTTAGCTTGGTCGGGAACAGGCATTGGACTCGTCAACGAAATCAAACCCGCAGCTGTGAGTGAACTCGCTTCTAAGCGAACATCGATATCGCTCGTTAACCTGAAAGGATCTTCGTCCAGGACGTTGTAAAAGAGATTCATAAGGAGATGATAGATCGCTTGCGAGCCGTATCTACCCTCCTCTCAGAAGAATTTGGTTCTGAAGCTTGACACAATTTGCAATGCAAAGGAATTAAACGCTAAAGAAAAGTCACGGCTTCATATTCTGCCCGTCCCCCAGAATTATTGTACACGAATAAACCGATCAATCTCCGCTGCACCACTTCTTCTGCATTTGCATTTACTGAACTTCGAGCACAGCGATATGATCGTTTTCGTTCAAATTCGTTCTATCGCTGACAATGCGCCTGATGAATCCGACTCTTGGCGCGAGAACCTGCAGTTCCGTCTATTCGAGAAGTGTAACGAACCACAGTTTGAATAATAAATATCTTGAAATCGATATCTTAGTAAAGAGTAAACCAACCTTCGCGGAATTCTGCGTAGCAATAAGGTCTCCCTCCTTCACTAAGGCTCCCTCCGAGACAACAACACTGACTACTCCGTTCAGTGGTGCAACGATCTTAATGTGATCCAAGGTAGGTGACTGGGGAGGTTGAACGTCTGAGCTTGGCGCTCGCGCCGTTACTGCGTGCGCTTCGGGGCTACCGCTCATCTGACTTTAAAGTAAACTCGTAGTGGTTTAATCGTCCTGAGCCGAAGTAAGCGGCAAGTCTACTTTCATCGAAAAACATGAGTTCGCCACAATAACTTACGCTTTCCCTGCTGAGCAACGAGGCTTGGTGACTGATAGTGGAGGTATGAATCAACGTTTTGGGATATATCGGATCTTGTGAAATGCAGGGAGGGTCAATCAAAACGACTCAGATGATCAAGACGTCATCTACTTAGGTTATTGACTTATTTGGTAAAGGAAGCTAAGGAGTCATGTATATCTATGTATATGTATTTGGCTGAACACTAACTACAACAGATGACTTCATTTGGTATGTGACAAGTTTATGATTGAAATACAAGAGAAATACACCAGCAGGCCGATAGTAGCTATTCGGTATCTGACTCGTTTGCGATATAACTACATCTGGAGCCACAGGGTTGAACCGGGAGCATGTAATATGCCTTCTAATGGACGATCTCGACAATGAGGTCTCCTTGCGAGATGGAGTCGCCTAGAGGGAATGGAAACGGATGTCAATAGTGCGGCTCACTAAATATTGAAAGAGAACGAAAATGGGGGGAGTGGAATGGAAGTACAGACCTTCTTGCACGGCGACACGCTTGATGTGCCCAGATACAGGCGCACTGACGGCAGATTCCATCTGAGAGAGGAAACAAGATTGAATGATGAGATGCTGCGGAATGTATATATTCTCTCTTTGGAACGGCGGACTAACCTTCATGGCGCTCTGTACGCAAAGAACGTCACCCTTCTTCACTTCTTGGCCTTCCTTCACACGGACCTCGACCACAACACCCGACATTGGCGCGCCGACCGAGCCTGGATCACTTGAAGCCTTCTCTCTGGTAAAGGTTTCTACGGCACTGTTCTTGTCTTCCACAGCCACTGCACGAACTTCGCCGTTTACCTCAATCCAGACATCTCTGGTCGCCTTACCCTCAACCACTGGTCCGACCGCCATCCTAGGTTACGACACATGAGTCGACCACACTTCCATTGAGTATGCTAAATTTTACTCACAAGCGAATGATTAGGGTCTTGCCCTCCTCGATCCTAATTTTGTTGATCACAAATTAATATCAATTCACCTTGAGCGAAGAGTAATCACACATACGAAATGTGCATTTCCTCCCCAACATCGGGCCTGCCGAGGAAGTAACGCGTAGGTACAACACTGAGGTCACCATATTTCTCGAGGAAGCCCTGGTATTCCTCAAACACCTTTGGATACATCACATAGGATGTAACATCCGAGTCCGTAATGTGCTTCCCGAACTTCGATCGCAATTCCGCTTTGATCTTCTTGAACTCCAAAGGCTCCATAGTTGCGCCCGGGCGCCCATCGATGCGAGGCTTATCACGGATGATCTTTGAGCGCAACGGTTCTGGGAATCCTCCGACGGGTTGGCCCAAGTAACCCTGGAAGAATTCTACAACAGACGATGGGAAATCAAGGTGCTCGGCTCTGTCCAAAACGTCCTGCTTTGACAGCTTATTTGAAGTCAAAAACTGCGCGAAGTCTCCGACGACCTTGGAAGACGGGGTGACCTAATGGAGTGGCAGAAATTTAATTTATTAGATTGTTCCCGAGACTTCTGGACGGGCCAAATTACCTTGATGAGATCTCCGCACTAAAACAAGGCATAAGAATGTGGTACTGCGGAAACTGCATTGACGTACCAGCTCGTTAGCTTCAATATACTTTTGCTTGATTTCTGGGAGATCGATTTAGTTAGACAGACAGACGTTGAACCAGGCTTAGCCGATACGCACCTGTCCATTGTGTTCCCAGACCAAGCTGCGAAGCTTGGAACTACAGCGGCGATAAGTCCCCAGCAAAGAAGATGAAGATACAATGAGGCTCTCACCATGAGATTGGTATACTGCCCTCCCGGCATTTCATGCGCAAAGACACTAGAGTCTGAAGCACGGACGTTTGCCTCGAAGCAGCTGTACAGCTGTCGGACTTGCGTCCAGTACAAGTTCAAAGCTTGAATGTCATCGTAACGAATTCCCGTTCCGAGGTTCGTCTGCTCAAGTGCCATGCACACTGCACCCATGGATGGCTGCGATGTCAAACCCGACATGCTGTCAATAGCAACATCGACGACATCTGCACCAGCCGCGGCCGCCGCTAGCATGCTTGCTGCCGCAATACCGGCGGTGTCGTGTGAGTGAACGTGGATTGGGAGGTCCGGATACTTCTGCCTGATTGCACCAATAAGGCTGTCGGAGGATTAGAAAGTCAGCTCTCCGAAGAACTTGCCGTAAAGAATGATTGGATTTACAGTCTAGCAGCTTCGGGCTTCAGTAAGCCAGCCATGTCCTTGATACCGAGTACATGAATGCCCTCATGAACAAGTTGATCGACAAAGTCCAAGTAGTACTGCAAGGTGTACTTCGTCTTCTTGGGGTTGGCTACATCTCCGCTGTAACAAACGACTGCCTCGCAAACACCACCTGCCTTCTTCGCAGCGTCGATACCGAGCTTCAACTAAATCAAGTCAATTAATCCAAAGGTTGGGAAGCTATATGTATAGAAATATGAACATACGTTCTCTATTCAAAAAAAAGTTAGTCAATGTCTTTGACCTTGTAACTGATCGTGCTTACCGAAGTAATTTAGCGAATCAAACACTCGGAAGATGTCCAGACCTTCATTATCCGTCAGTACTAAAATTTCTTAGTGACCCGTTATCTCATACCATTCTCGACGGCCTTCTTCGAGAAGTCATATATAGCGTTATCTCTGCCAGACACGTTCAGTAACAGTTATTTCGCTGCATAATGGCCAACTTACGGATAGCTGGTGTAACCAACACCATTAGCACCACGAACGAGAGCTTGGAAAGGAATGTTCGGAACAAGTTTCCGTAGGGTGCGCTGCAAAGACAAACCTCAGCTCTGAACTCATGGAAACTACTTAACTGCCAACCCACCAGACGCTCCCAAGGATCCTCATACAAGAAACGCATAGCAACATCAAATGTTGCGCCTCCCCACATCTCCAAAGAATAAGCATTCGCGAGCGCCCAGCTCGTCTCCTTCGCGATATTGACCATGTCAACAGTACGCAGACGTGTGGCGAGCAGTGACTGGTGGGCATCACGCCAAGTTGTGTCCATGATTAGTACACCTGGATACTCGCGTACGGCTTTGGCAAATGCCTCTGGACCTTTCTCGATAATGATGTTGCGCCAGCCATTGTGGCATGGCACGGAGGTGTCGAGGGGTCCACCGTCACCAGCATCGCGGTTTACTAATTTCGGAATAACGATCTCGTCCTTAAGGCCTGGTTCACCCTTCGGAAATCATGTTAGTATGCTGGATATAGCATCAAGTTGACAATGATACTAATTACCTGTTGACCTTTGATAGAACTACCGTTGACGGCTAGGTCCCCAAGGTACGCAAGAAGTTTCTGTGCGCGATTCTGTGACTGCACAAGCTTGAAGAGATCTGGAGTGTCGTCAATGAACTGGGAGGGAAAAATGAGCGAAACACGGTTGCAGAATGGTCAGATAGTAGTGTACCGTTGTCCAGGTCTTTCCAGAAATGAAGACGTCATGGGTCAAAAGGCGGAACAGGAATGGGATATTTGTCTGAATTCGGATTAATACGGATTCATATATCAAAATTAAAGCAGTGCAGGATACTGAGTTCTACACCGTACCTTAACGCCACGAATGCGGAACTCAACGAGTGCGCGTAGCATCTTTCGACGAGCAACTTCATAAGTCGTTCCGCTAACGGAGACTTTTACCAGCAAACTATCGTAGTGTGGCTGTCATAATGCAATGTAATGGAAGATGGGTTGAGAGTGTGTTGGGTTATCCGGCTAAGTAATGTAGAATAATCCTTGGTCAAATGGAACTCACGGTAATCTGTGCTCCAGCAAAGCCGGAGGACGCATCGAGACGGACGCCATTTCCACCAGCAGAGCGGTACACCTCAATTTTACCTGTATCGGGCTGGAAGTTCTGGGCCGCATCTTCAGTGGTTACACGGCACTGGATTGCAAACCCGCGTTTTGTGATGGCCTCTTGTGACAAACCGAGCTGAGCAAGCGTCGCGCCAGCCGCAATTTGAATTTGCGCGGCAACAATATCAATACCAGTAATCTCCTCTGCGTAATACAAGGGATATAAGTATAACGAGAAAACGGGAAAGACGGACACATTCACCCACCAGTAATGGTATGTTCAACCTGGATACGCGGGTTGATCTCAATGAAATAGTGTCTACCAAGCTGGTCAACTAAGAATTCCGCAGTGCCCGCATTGCGATAGCCAACACTCTGAGCAAGCTTGATAGCATCTCCGAGAATGGCTTGGCGAACTTCCTCCGGAAGGTTCATCGCAGGCGCAACTTCAACAACTTTCTGGTGGCGACGCTGGACGGAGCAATCACGTTCAAACAAGTGGACAACATTTCCTTGTCCATCTGCAAGCAGCTGGACTTCTATGTGGCGAGGGCGTTCAAGGAAGCGCTCGATAAAGACTGTACCATCTCCGAATGCGGATTTGGCCTCGCTGACCGCTCGCGAGAATGCATCCTTGAACTCGCCCTCTTCTCTGACGACACGCATACCACGTCCACCGCCGCCCATAGCAGCCTTGATGATAACTATAAATATGAACCTTGACTTCTAATTTCTAGATAATACAAGGTTTGGCATTGCTCACCTGGGAAGCCGTATTCCTTGATAAAGCTCTCTGCATCAGTATATGCTGCGACCGGTCCAGGTGTACCAGGTACAACTGGGACGCCAATTTTCATTGCTAGAGACATATGAGTTTAGCTGTATTGTAGCACATTCGATTTTGATCGAGAAATATGAATACCAATGGTACGAGCCTTGGTCTTGTCACCAAGAGCATCGATGACCTCTGGGGAGGGGCCGATGAAAGCGAGCCCAGCTTGCTCGACCTTCTGCGCGAACTCCGCATTTTCAGATAGGAATCCGTATCTATACCGACATTTAGTAATTGAATATATGCTATCACAGCAATTTGTGCAAGCCAAACTCACCCCGGATGAATCATATCTACACCATGCTCAAGAGCAATTCGGATAATATCATCTTGTGCGAGATAAGCAGCGACCGGGGTCAAGCCTTTGCCGACCTGATACGCCTCATCCGCCTGAAGGAAAGTCAGCACGTCGCCACACGTACATCAATGTGCATGAACGCGCCTTCTGACGATGTGCGGACAACCGATCCTCGTAAGAGTAGATAGCAACAGTATGCATCGCAAGCTCATGGGCGGTACGGAACACTCGGATAGCGATTTCCTAGAAACCATGGTATTTCAGCATTGACAAGTCTCTCGCGATCGTCTTTTGACGCGTTCTCGGCGCATAGAGCGACGAGTCAACGAAAAGAAGAGACTTACACCTCGATTCGCGACAAGGATCTTCGTGAGTGGACCACCATGGCCTGCAGCTTTGCGACGCATCGTCTGGATTGAATGCACCGGTGTTCCCGGTGCACTCGGCGACTTCGCGAACATCGACGCAAGGCGTGGCGGGTGCAGACCCGCAGTCTGGCTTGACGACATGGTCGAACCTTTGTTTCTCGACTTTTACAGCAACGGGTTTGGAATCAGGAGCGCGTCTAGCAGGTCGTTATGTGTGCTAGCAGGTGTGATGGGGGTTGAGAGAAATGTAGTAAGTAACCTGGAGAAGGTGAGTTGGGTACGATAACACGGAGTGCTTTTCGTTCGGGGATAGCAGAGGCTGTTCTTATGGAGTCCACACGTGCGCCTGGTGCTATACTGGTTGGGGGTGGCGGCCAATGGAATCTCAGTGTCTTACGCGTCGTCCGCTGTCTACGGTTTGGAGAACGATGTGCTCGATGTTCGTAGATGCTAGAGTATCGATGAAGAGTAGGAAACTTGCGAAGAGCGAACGAACCCGGGCAGTCGCGTTTCTATCGACGTCACTAGCCAATGGCAGACTATATGCACCCGCAGGGAATAAAGCGGACTTCCGCTCTATCTCACTCTCCCTCGTTGTTCCTGCCATGCCGTAGGCGTATCGCCCGTTGGGGATTCGATTGTCCACGCACCGCGCTTTCATGCTCAATGATACGGAAAATTGTTGAGTATCAGACAGCTGTCAATAATCAAGTATCCGCCAATCGAGGCCGTGTGATTATATAGACAGATAAAAAAACGTGTCTCTATGTAAACGATCTAAACAGATAAAAACCATCGAAAGCAGTCCCGAAAGCTATTCATACTTATGAATACACCGCCGTTTCGATGAACACATGTCACCGCGGAAAATAAAACACGTCTCCCGAGTAAAAATCATGCTCATCTTGCACTGATTATATCACCCGCGTGGTATTATCCGACCTTTTCACTCCTTAACCAAATATATAAAGAGCTTCACCAACGCGTCTTATCAAGGTTTGCGTTGTGTAAGTGGAATAATGCTGTCAGCTTGTTTCCGTGCGCTCTCTGCTTTCTTTTGGTTGTTCTTTGCCACTGCATAGACAACTCCTGCCAGGAAACCTACTAGTACTGCGCTCACGGAACCGAGAGTGACCAGATCCCCAAAGAAAAGCATGCCTGATGCCGCGACTGGAAGCTTGTTCAGTGCACCAACCATACTAGGTACCAATACAAGTCAGTTGTGTGCCTTTTCCCCACCATGGAACTCATCACATACCTGTACGTCGTACTACTCGTCGCTCGTATACACCATGCTGTTGTAAAGGAAATTCCTACCGCGGCCGCGCCGGAGAAGGCAATAGCAAACAGCAAGAAAGTCCTGGTCTCTGGAGGGCTAGACGTTGGAATCGTTTGGTATCGGATTTAAATAGGGTATAGAGGTAGCGCGTGAGTTGGATCGAAAGATTAGAAAATGTAATTTCAATTAAAACTCACAAGCTTTTAGTGAGATTTTCTGAACTCCAGTCCTCCACAAGGAAAGAGAAAACGATAAGAACAGGGATGGACAGCAGATTGTTATAAAACATCGTTTCCCAGTCTCCGAAGTTCATGACTTTGATACGTTTGCGCATCGAAAGCACCTAACAGCAAATCGTTCAGCCAACTTCCCATCGCAGAAGACAGGACACCCATATTGGTTGCCAAGAAAAGTCTCACAAAAGCCGCAGATGTGATGCAGTTGAAGAACATCCAGAAATATCCGATGTTCAGCTTCGTGAGCGCACTCTGGACAGCGTGTAAACCGCCTATGGCCGCGGCTGGATCCTGTGAAGACCAGGTCGTATCCAAGGCATTTGCAATATCGGACCATGCGGCAATGATTGAAGATATGACCTAGGAAATGTCGGTTGAGGTGCACCTCATACCAATTAAGAGGGTGAGTTACCATTATTATAAAGGACAAGAAGGTGAGGCCTGTCACCCGTCCGCCAAACCAGATAACTTCCCCGTAAGCCTGACAATCTCGATCAGAAACTCTCTGCAAACTCTCTGCAAACTCAAAAGCGTAACCTACGATTAAAATGATAGTCAGGTTCTTGAATATGGTGTACACTGGAATGCTGAGGTATTGCTAGAGAAGGTGACCAATCAGCATCAAAATTATGGAAGCAAGGTTAGGCAAGGAAAATGGCTACGTACTATGCTCTTTGATCCCGTGTATATCACACTAACTAGTAGCAAGCTTATAGGAGACCATTTCTTCGCATCCTCCATGTCAAAATCTCGAAAAGAAATAATTCCCGCCTTCTTCACAACCATGACGCACGCAACACAGACAGTGGATTGGATCGTCAGAAGCAAAAAGTTCATAGAAAAGTCTCGTCCGGACACCACAAACTACAAGACCCATAAGTAATTTCCAAGAAATAATCGTGTCACAGACACATACCTTGTTGACAACTGTCATGAGTATCGAGGCGCAACAGTAGGAAACGATAGGTAGGACTTAATGGAAAGTAGAGACATTTCAACAGACAAAAATAGCTTCCATACGAGCTTGACACTTACCAGCTGTAGAGACACCTTCCTTCGAGGAAGCGCCCGTAGCTAAAGCCTTCTTGTACTGCGCCATATCCTCTTCTCCTCGTTCATCCTGTGGCAGTTGCTTATACGACGCAGACGGTGAACGTTGAGGCGTTGGTCCAGACATCCTTTAACCAAAAAGTTGGCCGATTTAGAACAAACCAACAAGGGCTACTGGGCACAGATAAGGACCAGCGGTACCGATAGCAAAGTCTTCAACTCTCGGTGAAGTCCAAAGCGGAATGCCGTGTTGTCACTAGGCAAACTGTTTGCCGACGTTGGATCGGTAGCGAGTGTCTCTGAGTCTTGAAGCTTGGTGAAAAGCAGAAGACAAATGTACTGCTGGCAGATTCGTTATTCGTCGAAGGTTGCACGCCGCACCGGATGGGCGTAAGTCGGCGAACGGAGGCCGCTGGAAAGAAAAAGAAAAAAGAAAGTGCTAGGAAAACAAAACATATCATGAGTTGATATTAACATAGAGAATGGGAATCCGCAGCCAGAAGCAACAGGACAGCAGACCACTCACCTTGCTGCTGAGCTGGAGGAATTCTATAAGTGTATCTATTGGAGAGGTTATCCGCAGTGCGTCGGCGCGGACTTGTGGGATTTGGCACACGTGCTCCGAGATCACGCGTTGGCCCAAAGGCAACTTTAGTGCGCGTCTAACACACAAGAGAGCATACGCGCTTTTAATCGACTGCTCTTGCTTGCTTTAAATTCGTGCCAATGAGCGCAACACAACGCAAGGACCGTCTCTATGGTCAATTCGCCGCGAATCTGCAGCTGCTTAAGCAGCATTCAGCTCGCACTACGGACCTTGTAGAAGGATTACAGGGTGACCTTGACGCGATGCGAACATTCGCGGGCATTCACGCAGCTCAGTAAGTCACCGATTCTCGGTGCCGTCGTAACTCTGACTCGTGTGGGACTGCTTAGATTTATGACGGTGGCCGCTGGACTGAATCCGGAACACGATCATGAACCAAGCTCGGCTCCGCAGAAGTAAACATGCCAGTAGAGATTGGTATATGCTGTGTCGACGGGATACCCATTATGTCACTCCTTGTGTGGAAGTTGAATGGATCATTGCATGTAGCCTATGCTAGACATCAGTCTTCGAGTTCTGGTGAGCACTTCGTGATGCTGAAGGGTGGCTCAATCCCATGTCCTAACTCTATGCCTCACGCCCATGTAGCTGCAGATGTGCTTCTGAATCGTATTATAGCCTTTTCCTGTTTTGCTCGCATACTTGCTCGCGGAGCTGCAAGACATATATATATATATCACAACGCCGTTCTACCCCACTCTCATTCTGCACTGCTCAGATCCTCCGCAGGTCACCGTAGTGACTCGTCAAGAGCTCTTTTACGCAACTGTTCATCTGATCAAATATAACAGTTGTACAGCGTCTTACCAAGGAACTATCATCTTGCACTTTACACACGCCTTTTTACGAAGTCGAGCTGACATCGATGACGAAGATACACAAAAAACATATTGGTGGATATTCTATAAAAGCAGCTTGAAGCATCATACATCGACATCGTAGGACCATTCTCAATATGTCAAACATTCATCTGAAGATGGACAAGCTCTCCGACTTGACCGGTAAAGTCGCCTTAATCACTGGTGGTGGCACCGGGATGTAAGTAATTTCATTGAAATTACAATATCCTGAGTAGATATTGACAGACTTTCTCGTGTAGCGGCTTCATGATGGCCAAAGGTTTGGCAGCTAATGGTGCTAAAGTCTATATCACTGGTCGTCGCTTCGAAGTACTTCAAAAAGCCGCAGAACAGAAGTTTGAAGGCGCAGGTCATATAGTGCCGTAGGCCCTTCCTTCTTCCTTTCGTATGAGCTCACTTTAAGCTCGTCACACTATAAAAAAGTCTGCAAATGGATGTCACTGTTAAGGAGAGCATTCTTTCCATTGTCCAAAAGATTAAGGAATCCGACGGAAAACTAGATGTCCTAATTAACAAGTAAGCATATAATTTAAACACACTTCAATTAGTTCCCGACGAACTTTTCATTCAACAGTGCAGCCACTGACGGCCCGAGACTGCGCACATCGTTCAACAGCGAAGATGCATCACAGAACCAATCCATCAGTGCATACGGACGAGAGCTTTTCGACATTCAGTCATTTGAGGACTGGGGTTCCCTCGCTCAGACCAATGTAGCCTCATACTTCTTCGTCACGATGGCTTTCCTAGATTTGCTCGTCGAAAGTACATACGGTAAGGAGGGTGAACAGCGAGCATCATCAACATCACCAGCGGTGCGGGTCAGACCAAGCTTCCATTCGGATACGTGAGTCTACAAAGCTGAAATTCTGTACCCCGAACTAAATTAATACATTATGCCGCATGGTGTCACTCTTAAAGTACGCCTACGCGAGCCTTAAAGCCGGCACTGCTCACTTGACTCGTCTACTAGCCACAGACTTGGCCTTGAAGCGTGCACCGATCCGCGTAAACGCGATTGCTCCCGGCGTCTTCCCCTCCCAGCTCAACCACTGTTCTCTGGAAGAACTCGAGGAATACACAAAGACACCTATGGTCTGCTTGCAGCCAATTCCACTTCGTCGTCCCGGAAGGTGAGAAGTTGTCTCCTGTGTTTGAAAAGTTTATAAATTATTGATATTGTTTACCTGGATGGAAGGGAACATGAAATAGCATCCCTGGCTGTCTATTTAGCTTCCCCGGCCTCTTCCTATCTCCATGGACAGGAGATCAACATTGATGGTGGTTTGCTTATTGTAAACCCTTAAGTTTATGGGACTAGTTAGGTTCGATAGTCACATCGTTTGGTCCATAATTGTACTTGAAAGAAAGTGGAATAAAGGCTTTTTTTTGTCGTGTATCTGACGTATGAGTTCAGTTACTTTGTCCTAATGTTTCCGGAGAATCTTGATGGCAAGACGAAGGAATATCATCTCTTAGGTTTAGCGTTACTGGACGGATGACTTATAAATCGTGTCGTTTTGTGAGCAAGACATTTTCAATGAAGTGGGCCAGCAGTGCAAGGGCATTGTATTCACTTTACACAAATAACAAACGGGGTGTTCAGCTTAAATGAACATGATCAGAACAACAAATCTCATCAGTCGTTCACTCTCGTTAATTGGTTTTTGCTTCACACGGTGATCTTCATCCGACTCGTCTTACAAAGTCCAGTGCTACAAATGTATTTTGATTGCGAAACATATCGTTCGACATGGAGTGGATGCATAACATAAAAGCTTAAAGCGTATGGAAATGGCGCGAAAGAGACAGGTGTTCACCTCGCAGTTGGAGGTTTGGTACCCTGCATTATGACCATTAGTGGGTAAAAGAATTCGATGAATTGAGACGACATACAGGCTGGAAGGTGTACGTGAGGTTGCACTTCCCACAGTACTGGCGGTCTTTGTGGAAGGCCATCTATGAAACGATTGAGCACAATGCAAAAGCACAAGCTGTATAAGAGCACGTACGAAAACACCAGCGCCGCACTCCGCATTCGGGCATTCACGACGCAGACGCTGAATCTTCCCATCGGAGTCCACCTTATAGTATTTCAAGATGGCCATTTTAACCTTCTTGCGCTTGTGCTTGATTTTTTTCGGGGTCTAGGGTTCGCAACATGACTATCAGTGGTCTGGTAATCAAGGTCAAAGGCTGAGTCACGCACATTGTAGGTCTTCTTCTTCCTCTTCTTCGCACCACCTCGCAATCTGAGCACAAGATGAAGGGTGGACTCCTTCTGGATGTTGTAGTCGCTAAGCGTACGGCCATCCTCGAGCTGTTTACCAGCAAAGATTAGACGTTGCTGGTCAGGTGGGATGCTACATGTACAGCCATCTGAATAAGCCCTCGACCCAGATTGCAGTTGGAAGCTCACGTACCCCTCCTTATCCTGGATTTTGTTCTTGACAACATCGATGGTGTCGGAGGACTCCACCTCAAGGGTGATAGTCTTACCCGTGAGGCTGCGGATTCGAGTCAGCACGTACCCTCAGCGCGTTTCTGCATATGCAAAAACGTACGTTTTTACGAAAATCTGCATCGCTAAAAAGCGATAAAGCAGTTAAGAAGTGTAGCTAGTACGAGTTGATGCAGATGTGGTGAGGACGGAGGTGACCTTGTCTATCCAACGAGTGTTACCTCTGGAGTCGTTGACAAGCGTCGATGATGTCCACGCGTAACACGAAATTCGTCAGACTCGATTGTACAGTTGCGTACATAAGCTAGTCCCACAATTGAAGTCACGAGATGAAGATGACACGCTAGGCCCTAGAATGGATGGGGTTTTCCGTGGATCCATACCGCGGTAAGGAAACTCTCACAGTAACCGTACCACGGTAAGGATTCCCATGGTTACTGTGGTTTACTGTGTGTCCACCGATGCTGAGGGAAAAAAAATACTCTAACCAAAGACACTCATTTGAACTTGTTACTTTGCTACATCTTACTCCAATACATACTCTAAGCCTAAAAAAAATGTCTCAAAGCTATTCTTCTCTATCTCCTACTAGTATCTATGCTCAGTTTCATTATAATTGTACCAGAGTTCTAGTTTCTACCCCTAGTACTTCTTCTCCCACACTATCCATGCCATCAGCACATTAAGCTGAATTTCATAAACGTCTGGTAGAAGCACTAGCCCTAGCAACTATTCTATTAGCTCCAAAAAGGAAGAGGAAGGCTACTGGTTCAGTGTATAACATGACAGATGAGGAGGTTTGGGATATGAATAATGAGGAAATACTTAGTATGCTTTCTTCCTTTCTTCCTTTCTATCTTTTTTCTTACTCTGTATTGTAGTTCTTTTATTAGTAATGTAGATTATATTATTCTAAATGTATATGTGTTAATATTGGTCAAATAATAATAACTTCTTGTATATTCAGCTCCCTACTGTGTCAAATGGACTTCTCTAACATATCAGCACTATAACATTTCTGTCAGACATGTTAAGCATAATGGAATGAGGAAAATCTTCTTTATCTTCAATTGTATGTATGGCAGTCCAAACTACTAAGAAATCAAGTGTGTACAAATGGGTACAAAGAACAGTACATTACTACTCCTTAATTCTACTATTGCCTGTACTAATTCAAGAGGTCATACAACAAATACTACCCAACCACCTATTATTTATTCTGAAGCTACTCATTGTACTCTCATTACTCTTTACTGTGTAAAAAGTAACTAGCCCTTCAATTTTGTGAAGGATTACTATTATGTACTTAAAGTTGTAATACTCTGACCTAGTGTATCTCTACTGAGCCCTGACACTGTTTCAAGCAACATTAAAGCTATTTATACTAGCTTGTCAATTCAAGTAAGGAACTACTTCAAGGTAAGTACAAATATACTTTTTTCCTTCTACATCTAATTAAATACATTTAGAATTGTGTAAGAAATGTGTATCTTATAATTGATGGTTGGACTGTACTAATTGTTATGATTCTCTACTCTCTTACCTTCAGTTCCAAGGGTTCTGCACCCTTCTGTACCAGAACTCAGGACTTCCATCCCTCAGAGGTGCTGTCTATAGACTATATGTGTGCTGACTCTTACTACTACTCTTCCTTACTTCATCATTCTATTCCTTTGGCTACTCCTTCATTCTTTGTACATTCTATAGTCTCTTACCCTTTGTCCATCCCTTCATTCTTTGTACCTTTATCTTTGACATTCCTTTCTTTCATTCTTCATGGCTTATCATTCTTAGGGGCTCATACTCCCTGAGTGCTCTTGTGTAGTTTAGTATATATAGGTGTACAAGATTAGACTGGTCCTGTAGTCTTGATCTTGTTTACTCTAGGTAGTCCTGTACTCTTAGACTCACTCTATATACTCTACTCTTGTCTCACTCTCTCTCTCTGCCTGTTCTGCAAGTTCTGACTATGTTCTAGTGTTCATGTTCTATATTTCTGTTGTGTAGGATAGTTGTAGCCTGGGTCCCCTTGCTGAGCCTTTAGGTCCCCTCTACACTGTTGCTGACATCAGATCAAGACTACCCATTACTACCCTACAACTCTCCTACATTTCAGGCATTAGCACTTACTGTTGTGTCAATCTCTTTCCTTTGTCCTAACCCTTTTACATTCTTAAATTTTAAACTTTCTAAACTCTTTTAAACTTTTGCCACCCTTCTTCTATTCATTACCCCTTTTAGTTTAGTGCTGATCCCTTTATAGTGTAGACATAGACCCTACTATGCTAACTACCACCCCTACTGTCCTGCCAGATCAGTAGTTACAAGCAGAACTAGCTCAATATGTGTAGACCTCTATCTAAGAGGCTTTTGCCAACCATGTGCCCCCAGCCCCTTCAGAACCTGTTCTGATTGTTCTGGAAGTCACAACCTGTTTTAGAAAGAAAGTGTATGTAGCCCACCCTTTGGACTTCAATGGGCAGCACTTTGAAGACTTCCAGCACCAAGTTAAACTATATGTGGCTACTGCTTCAACCAATCTATTCTCAGATCTTGATTGTGTCCTATTTGTCCTCTCCTTCATGAAGGAAGGTAATACAACCACCTGGGCCTAGAACTGGATTGAAGGTTATTAGATTGGAAGCCTGATCTGACTTTGGAACAACAAGTCATACTCAGAATTCATAGGGCAGCTCTGTACTTCCTTTATTAATCTGAATGAGAAGCACAATGTGTAGAACAAGCTTGTGTCTCTGTGACAGGGCAAACATTCTGCCAATGCCTTCTTTCAGGAGTTCAATATCCTAGTCTGGAAGGCAGGATTCATACTTGGGTTTGATAATGTCCTCATCAGAATGCTTGAAAAAGCTCTTTACTCAGAACTGGTTGATAAGATTCTTAGAATAATGCTGGAACTAGTCACCTACACTGAGTGGAAGACATACACCATCTCCTTTGACTAAGCTACAGCTTGGATGTATCAAGTCTGTGTAGAATACTTACACATGCATCTAGCTCTAACAGTTCTGAGCCCTTGGATTGATCCACCTGTAATTTGTAATCAATCTGTTCTGATAGACATTAGAGAAGCCTGAAAGTAAGGAGCATACTTTGCCTACAGAAAGTCAGGGCACTAAATTAAGGACTGCCTACAGAAGTGACAGTATATCTGTCAGGTCATTAGAGTAATAATGAGTGATGAGCAGGATTTGTAGTAAGAAGCCTTTTCTACAAATCTAGAAGTCACCTTAGAACTCTTAGACTCTAACTACATACTCTAGGATTTTGTAGAGGCCTAACAGTGAATGTAACACTGAAGGGCTATGACTCAGATTTTTTAATAGCCACTTTTGATTCAATGAACACTATAGGATTAGAAGTAAATAAAGTAAGAAAAGTAGAAAAAGTAGAAAAAGTAGAAAAAATAAATCAACAAAATTATTTATTAGAAAGAAAAAAGTTGAAAACAAAAGTAGATAGTTCTCCTATTTCTTCTGATTCTTTTGATTCTTCTCTTTGTACTTTATCTGAGTCTAAATCTGTACAATCTAACCTACTACTTTTACATTCTAAGATCTCAGAATGTTCAGAATGTTACCCAGCCCTGTTTACTACTCAGTAGTTTGTCTATAGTATCAAGCAGGGATGGTCTCAGCTGAGTTTACAGCTGAGGACATGGGTCTGTGTTATAGACTATATTTCTACACAGGGATTACACCTCTTGTTGTAAGTTCACAGGCAACAGGCAGGTCCTTAACCACATAACTACTAGTCCTGAATGTAGCCTCTATCTTTACTTGACTAGGAGTATATCCCTAAGAGTGTTGATAGTACTTGTACTCAGTAGAAGGGGAGTTAATGCCCTTAAGAGTAGTTTAACATGTTTGTATTTTGAGGTGAATAGAGTAGTGTTTTTTGTGTAAAGAGTTTATTAGGAGAGATGAGTGGGTTACAGCTAGTTCACAAGCTGTCCTCAAATAAACTGTTATTGAGTATGATGCTCTTTACACAATACATAAAGCACTTTTTATACTACTCTAATTATTCCTTTATCCTCCTATTTCTTTGCAAGTTGAGTGGTTCTGTTTATCAGATGGTCTGTGTGCTATGTTACAATATTTTTAGTATGTTGCCATATACTCTATAGGATGTGCATTAGTGATTTCATGTGTTCAAAGTATTAGCTATTTCTGTTTTGAGGTAGCAATCTGTGTTAGATCTTTTGTACTGTGTGCTTCTTGTACAGCTATTATGTTTACTTCCTTAGTAGCACTTCTTTTCCTCAGCTAAGCTTAATTAGCCTTTTTATGATTAGCACTATTAGTTCTGAGTTCTGGGTGGCTCTGTCATCATGTGTCTGTATAGTATAATGACCTTTGTGTAAGGCTTGCCTACTTTACACCATTTGTTGAGTACATAGGGGTCTTCAGATCTAAGTTCTATAGATCTGTAGTGTTTGTGTCCTGCTAGTATTATTGGATAGTGGTCTCTGTATATTACTTTAATATTATATTACTTTGTTAGTCCTTCATGATGACTGGTTGTAAATACAGTGCAGCTGTGTGTTCTGTTGTCTCAGATAGTACTCTATATTGAAGCAAATATTTGTGCTGTGTTTTCTTTGTATTCTCAGTGTGTTTTCATTAATAGATGTAATTGTACTGCTTCACATTCCTCATATATTGTTAGGTTGTATATCTTGTATATATGTATCTTAAATGATGCTTCTTTCCTTTCTTGTTTTATTCCTTTGTGTATCACATGTTGTAGTCAATGTTACAGTTGATTGAATAACATTTGATATGCTACTACTTGTATAGTATTTCTTTCTATTTGTATGCTTCTTGTTTTACAGATTTGTTGATCCTGACACATTTGATATGTCATTATTACTTGTATGTGTTCTTAAAGTTGTGTCACATGATTGCATTTCTGGCATAGTCTCTATGTGTCTTGTGGCAAATTCTAGTTTCCTTGATTGTGTACCATTACAAATCCTTCTGAATCCTTTCACTGCCCCCTTCTCAAGTGATTAACTAATGTTGATCACCTAATAAGGACAGATTTGTATTTGTGAGTAAAGATGTTTTTGTTTTGCAAATTATTACTTCTCTCATTACTTCTAAGGTAACAAATGTCATTTAGAATGTTTTGTTTGGATGTTAGCCCTAATAGCACAGTTGGTAAAGTCTTTACAACTGCTTTAGGGTGTCATCATACAATTGTGGATTCTATTCCTGTACATTAGTCTACTTG